GGAGCCCAAAATGACCTCAACGTCCTGGGTCAATCTCCAGTCTTCAATGATGTTTTGAGAGGCCAAGGCCCCAATATTACCTATCAAGTCAACAATACAGTCTACCAGACGGGGTATTATCTAGCTGAAGGTATCTACCCAAGGTGGACCATATTTGTCAAATCCATTCCGAATCCCCGATCCCAGAAGCAAATATTATTTGTTACTTATCAAGAAGGATACATGAAAGATGTCGAAAGGTGTTTTGGCATCCTTCAAGCTCGGTGGTTGATTATTCGAGTTGCGGTCTGTATGTTTGATGAGGAGATCCTCCGAAGCATTATGATGACTTGCATCATCCTCCATAATATGATTGTGGAGGATGAGTACGATTATGATGCTGGAGAGGTCTACGAACCGGATCCAATGAACACGACCTTGACCCGGATTTATGAAAGGCCCATGGGGCCAAATGAAGCACCGTTTGAGCCAGAACCGTTGGTGAGGGACGATCGTTTCATGACCCGGATGATAGATCGATATACAGAGATGCAATCTTCGTATATTCATGAAAGGCGTCAACTTGACTTGATGGAGCATCTATGGGCGGTGAGAGGGAATGAAGATGAACGATGGAGCATAGATGCTTTGGTTATGTTTTATTTACTTATGGTTTGGTTGTGTTATTTTTTATTGCTTATGGTTTGGTTGTGTTGTTTATTTATTTATTATTCTGCCTTGTTTGTAGTTTTTTTTTTAATTTTAATTATGTTTTGTTTGATGTATGGAATATGTTGAATAAAATGGTCTTTTATTGAATGCTTTGTTTATTAAATAAAGAAATCCAATACAAGTCATTAAGAATTACTACTACTAAAATAAAACACATGAAGTACACCAACTTTAATACAAAACATGAAAAATAAAAATACATAAAAGGTATGCCAACTAATTTAATGGTTTTGATCATTTAACCAATCTCTGTTGCTAGGCCCATCATCCTGGAAAAGTCTTCTTCTCATAACATCCTTTCGTTCTAGCTTCCAATATTATTTTGTTTCAGGGGACATATGACTTGTATCCATCGCCATGGTTTCCCGATCCGTCTTCTCCATATCTTTTTTGCTCAAATACTACTTTTCTCGTGCACACTCGGCTTGAATTGCCACCTCCATATCTTGGCGTTTCTGCTCCATTTCAATTCTTATGGTGTTTTGCCTTGCAATTTCCTCCAAAAACTTTGAATTATGATTGCTTGAATTACCCGCTTTCTTTGCCTTCGCAGCCTTTCGGCCAATGGGCCTCGGTTCCTTTTGGATGGGTGAGTCTTCACTCATAGGGGAATCGAGAGGTGAATCCGATGTCGTTGAATCACGGAGAGGCGTCTTGTTTAACACAACGTCGGGACCCGTGGGAATAATTATGAAGCGTTTACAATATTTCACCACCTCCCAACATTCATGATGGGTGAAACTTTTTTTGCCACCCCCGGTTGCACCGAACCACATCTGTGCTTGAATGAGCTATTTAACAAAAAAATGGCAATGCAATAAATATTTAAAATATATTGGATATGCAAGTAACAAAATAAAAATAATGGAAATGCAATTAACCTTACAAATAAATTGGAAGTGCAAGAAATATGAAGAAACAATTGGAAATGCAATAAATATTAACAACATATTGAAAATGCAAGAAATATTAACAAAATATTTCAAATGCAATAAATATTAACAACATATTGAAAATGCAAGAAATATTAACAAAATATTTCAAATGCAAGAAATATTAACAAAATATGAAATGCAAGAAATATTAACAAAATATTGACAATGCAATAAATATTAACAACATATATATATAAGGACATTAAACTTAATGATTACGAAAATTACAAAATACTTACTTCGTTAGTACGATTTTCCCCACTTCTATACAAATTCATCGCTTTTGCCAAGGCATCTCTCCATTTTGCCATCTCTTTGTTGAGAAGTTTCCACCTACTCGACAATGCCATTTCCGTACGAGTGGAGTCCGGAATTTTTTCGCAAAATTCGGCATGAATTTTTTTCCACATATGGAAAAATTTCATCTCATTGCCTGTCACGGGACAATGACAAACTCGGAGCCAAGCCTCACACAAAGAAACATCTTCTATGGTGCTCCACACCCCTCCAGTTTCGATAGAAGAAGCCACAAAAATAAGAAATAAAAATCAATTACAAAATACTTACCTCGTTAGTACGATTTTCCCCACTTATATACAAGTTCATTACTTTTGTCAAGGCATCTCTCCATTTTGCCATCTCTTTGTTGAGAAGTTTCCACCTACTCGACAATGCAATTTCCGTACGAGGCGACTTCGGAATTTTTTCACAAAATTCGGCATGAATTTTTTTCCACATATGGAAAAATTTCATCTCATTGCCTGTCACGGGACAATGACAAACTCGGAGCCAAGCCTCACACAAAGAAACATCTTCTATGGTGCTCCACACCCCTCCAGTTTCGATAGAAGAAGCCACAAAAATAAGAAATAAAAATCAAAGGTGAAAGAGATGAAAATGTTGAGTGAAGAGTGAATAAAATGTTGAGTAATAGTAGAGTAGAATAAAATATATGAGAATTGGTGTTGAAAGTGAAGGGTATTTATAGGTATTTATAGAAGAAAAAAAAAAAATCAGAATTTTAAAGTATTTTTTTTAATTTTTTTTAATTTTTTAATTTGATTTTTTTTATTTTTTTTCATAATTTTATTGCTGGAAAAACACCAGTCGTTGGGTGAAGGCTGTAGAAGCAAATCGGAGCGCTGGGGGCGTGCCACGTGGCTTCCAGCCGTTGGACCTGCGTCGCGCTGACGTCAGCACACGCTGGTTCAAATTTTTTTTACCGTTGGCACGTGCAAAACATCAGCCGTTGGATGAAGGCTGTAGAAGCAAATCGCTGGGGGCGTGCCACGTGGCTTCCAGTCGTTGGACCTGCGTCGGGCTGACGTCACCCCCCTCATTTTGGACCTCGGGCGGAAGCTTCCTTCGGGCCAGCCCTGGTTGGTGGGTCCCACACCTCCCCCGAGCCTGGGCTGTCCGCTGGAACACAATTTTTTTTCCCCCCCAGACTCGGGCTGGGCTCCCTCGCTGGAGCTGCTCTTAGGCCTATTTCAGTAAGATCACCATGGTCAAAACTATCAATGTCCTTATCCAGTGCACAAGCTTTTATGGCCTTATCATATTTGATCTCGTCCATTGGCATCCCGTAGAGTATGTTATAACGAAGCGTCCCACTTTGTATCCAAGAAGTCTGAGAAACATAAGCCAGGGTTCCAAATACATCAATAAAAGCGAGTATCGCCGCCCGACTATACTATTTTGAAGAAAAGTTAATAAAACGAGTACAGCAGGTCGGCTATACTATTTTATAAAATAAGTAAAAAAACAGGGTATAGCCGCGCGGATTTACTAGTTTTTTTTTTTTTTTTTTTTTTTTTTTTTTTTTTTAAAAAACCGCCTTGCAATTAGGTGTCCGCGTGTCACCATAAGTATAGCCGTCCGGTTATACGAATTTTTATAGAAACTATTGATGAAACCGAGTATAGCCGGCCGGCTATACTATTTTTATTAATTAAAAAAAACCTAGTATTCCGCCCAGCTATACTATTTATGAAATACGAAGCGGTAAAAAATATGTATGTGTTTTAGTCAGCAAAATTTTGACAAATTACAACTGAAAAGTTTGGCCATCATATAATATTTTAATATAATTATTTAAATATTTTAATCTATATTATTTTTATTCAATAAAATGTGAGAATTATTTGTATAATACGTGAATTTTGTGTGTTTTATTGAAAATTTTGTATTAAAAAAATGTATTAAACATGAAAAATATGTACGTACATATATTATACATTTGCTTTTTAAAAAGCTTGAATTTTACCAAGTCTTTAAGACGTGTACATAACACGAATGAATTATTGAAAAATACGTATGTACGTATATAATAGATTATTGAACGTGAAAGTGGCAAATTCTTTATACGAGGAATAACTCTGAAAAAGTAAAAAATGAAAAGGTGACAATAGAAACTTGGATATTGCAAAAATAGTAATGGATAATGCTCTAAATTACTATCCACGATAGACAAAAATTAGGAAAAAAATTTAAAAGAAAAAAAGGATCCTCATAATATATATATATATATATATATATAGCCGCACGGCTATACTATTTTTAAAATAATAAAGAAAACCCGAGTATAGCCGGTCGGCTATACTATTTTTTTAATTTGTTTTTTAAATAAGGAAAAATATGTACGTGTCTATTGACTCAAGTCTTATAGTACTAACGGGCCAAGAAAGCCAGTCCATTCTTCTAGGCACAATTTCTGGATCCAAATACTCCCAAGTGTAAAACAAATCTTCGGATTTTGGACAGTGTAAAGCAAACTTCCAAGTTCTTGCTTATGCTTGTGTCTTTTTTGATTTGGCAGAGGGGGTTGTGGTTGTGTGTGTGAGGAATTTGGACCGGTAAGTAGTCATAGCAATTTAGATTAAGTTACTAAAGCAGTGAAGTATGTTCATCAAATTATGTGTCAGTTGACCGAGTTATTAATGCCCCACAAATAAGTTAAATATATGATTTAGCCAAGTTATGCGCCTAGCACCTGATTTCATAACTCGGCCAAGTTAGCCTAGGTGCTTATCTCGCACATTTTTGTTATTTTGTTCGAAGCTCTTTTTCTGTAACTTCATCTTTTGTTCATCAACATTTCTTTTTTCAATCCTTCATTTTTTTTTCTTTTTTGGTCTTATTTTTTTTCCTAGGATAAACTCGAATGAAGTTTTGACGCGTTCACTCGCGTGTTATTTGAGCTTTTGCTTGTAACCCTGCTTTCTCATTAATCTCCAAATCTGCTAAGGCCCATTTTACATTGGTCACAAGATTTTCATCAGACTAAAAGCAATTCTAGCAGCAAATTTCCAATCAAATAGTCCCTTAATTATTTAGATACATTTGTGGTGCTTGACATTTTGGGCATCAGGTTCTCTTGCAGCTTGACCAATATTCAGCTACAAGCTTGGAGAAGTAGGAGTTGGTATCCAACAGCTTTGCAGGCTCTTCATACTCCACCAGCTTCCCTACAGACACAAACAAATTAAACCACCCTACATATTAGCAATTGGTTTCATATCATGTGTTACCAAAATATCACAGGGTCAAGTCCTGCAGATTTCATTGAAATTATAAAAGCTTACCATAGGAGAGGACCATGACCATGTCACTGTCTATAACGGTTGGAACTCTGTGAGCCACAGTTATCACTGTGCATTCTGAAAATTCCTGCCGGATGATTCTCTGCAGAATGGCGTCTGTCGAAGAATCAATGGATGCCGTAGCCTCGTCTAGAACTAGAATTCTGTTCCTCTTGAGAAGGACTCTGCCAAGGCAAAAGAGCTGGCGTTGTCCGGCGCTCCAGTTTTCCCCTTCATCACTCACTGTTGAAATCATTATAGTTATAACTTTTACGACAGTGTGATTATAATATGATCTCTTCACTTCACATATAATTATTAGACTTAATGTAAACTTGGAGCTTAAGTAAGGTGTTCTTAACACTTTTTCTCATTTGTTTGTAGGAAACATCACAAACTCACCAGATGAGTCTAGCAGATTAGGTAGCTTACTGACTGTTGCCTTGAGCTGACACTTCTCTAGAGCCTGCAATGAAGATGTCATTAAATTCATTTATAATTCAAGTACAAAAAGAGAGCTAAATTTAACTAATGCATAAAATTGGCTGCATTAGTAGAAGTTGCTGACAAACAATGTAAAAATTATGCAGGAAAAGCCTTTTCATCAGAACTGTATTCAGCTTGCTCACCCTCCATATTTCGTCATCGGAGTAAAGGCCTAGAGGATCCAAGTTGGTTCGGATGCTACCCCTGAAAAGAGTTGGTTCTTGAGGGATGATGCTGAGCTTCATTCTCAAGTCTTTTAGACCCATAGAGCAGATGTCAAGTCCATCTATAATGATTTTACCACTGGCTGGCTCTACTAAGCGAAACAAAGCACTTATGAGTGTGGTTTTTCCGCTTCCTGTCCTTCCCACAACTCCTACTCTAGTGCCTTCTCTGAATGTGCATGTAATTCCCTTGAGAACTAGCGGAGCATTTGGGCGGTATTTGATCTTTAACCAACCAAAAGCAGTAATTAATGGTTAGAATTCTAACCTGATCAAACCATAAGGTGGTAAAGGAACAGATTTTGACTAAGGAAGTTCACATGTATGATTTTGAATATATTACCTTCAGAGAATACAGCTCTATCCTACCCTTGCTAGGCCATGAAGATGGAGGCCTCTTGTCCTCCACAATTGCAGGGGGCTCTGGTGAAATCTGCATGAATTGTTTTATCCTTTCAACTGAGATAATGTAGTTGGATAAGTTGCAATACCATCGAGTCACAAAAATTTGTGTTGCTGTTAGTGATAAAGCATAAGAAAGAGAGAGCCCCACAAGCCCTGCATAAAGGAAATTAGGTGAGGGTTAAACAACTTTAGACAACCTCAAACTCCTTAGTTTGAAACAATAATTTCTATGTAATAAATTACCTGGTGCAACATAACCCTTAGGAAGTAAAACAATGAAAAAAGCAGCTGTGAAAAGGGTCAAATTCTGAAGCACTTCTGTCCTTAAAATTAACCACTCCATGGTTGCATTAGAATGAAAGAACAATCTGGCATCTGTGTCAACTAGCTCTAAGAAGTTGTTGAAGAACCTGTCCGCCATCTTAAAAGCTCTTATAGTGACCACTCCAAGTGATGTCTCTGATGCATAGTTCATAACAGGAGCTTTGGTTGTTCCATTGATTCTTATTAGTTCCCTTGCAGAGGCTAGATAATAGCCCTAGAAACAAAACAAAGAAGTCAGTTCCACCATTCCATTGGTGAAGAGAGAGAAAGAGAGAAAATCAACTGATATTCTGATCCACCTGAACACATTTTGCGGCAACCATGGCAAGAATGCCTATAATGAGAACTTGCCATGTGACCGAAGCCATAATTCCAATCGTTGTCAGCAGTTCAACGCCAGCAGACACAACAAAGATAATGGAGAACGGTATGTCAAAATCCAAAATACTTAAGTCTGATGAAGCCTGCACAAGTGGAAATAATGAATGAAAATAAGAATGAATTCTGAAAGAAGTAAATGAAAATACACTTGTTGAAGATTGGATACACTTACTCGTATCAAAATCCTCCCTACAGGGGTTGAGTCAAAGAACAGCATGGGAGCCTTAAAGATAGCATCAGTGAAACCAGAATAAAAGGCTCTAGAAGCTTTCAATCCCATATGGGCTGCAAAAAATGACCTAAGATATACAAAGACAGCACTAAGTGTTGAAATTGCAGTATAAACACCGATGAGTACGCCATTGGTCACTTTAGGAATTTGAATGCCTAGAGCTAACCAATAAGTTGCAGCAGCCTGAAGACCAACAAAACCAGACTGTGTTATTATGCCTAAGCATAGAAGAAGTGTTCCTTTGGAAACAAGTATATAGTCCCAAAAGGGCTTCCATCCAACATCTCCAATCTCTTTCTCTTCTTCTTCTGTTAGTTGCACCCCAGCTACACCCTTCACAGAAATATCCCCTTCACTATTATTTGCAGTGAGGTATGCCGCATGAGGTTCCTCTGGCCGAACCATATCTCCCTTTTCAGATTCTCCTTGGCTTTGATAATTGGAAGGACCCAATGTTGTCACTGCATCTTTATGAGCATTCACAAGCTGCTCAAATGCTGTTCCAGCTGTCAAAAGACTCTCATAGCTTCCAGATTGAGTAACTTGTCCACCCTCCATTACCTGTAAATTAAATTATAAGATACTAGCTCCTTGTTAGTCTGACCAAATAAGGTTTCATGAACAACACAATTTGAATTTTTATTGCAAATTAAATTGAAATTTGAGGTAATAACATATACCAGAATCTTATCAACTTCTGAGAGAAATTCAACTTGATGAGTTACCAGAATTACAGTTTTCCTTGCTAGAGCGGCCATGACACAATCCTGCATAACTCAATTCAAATGGAGTGAAATCTTTCTACAATGAGACTAAATGTAGTTTTCATGCTTCTTAAAATTATTGAATATGCAATTCTTACATGAAAAAGAATTGCAGCAGTATGTGCATCCACTGCACTGAAGGGGTCATCAAGAAGATAGATATCAGCATCACTATAGACAGCTCGAGCCAGCTGAATCCTCTGCTTCTGTCCTCCACTCATGTTAAGCCCCCTTTGGCCTATTTCAGTAAGATCACCATGGTCAAAACTATCAATGTCCTTATCCAGAGCACAAGCTTTTATGGCCTTATCATATTTGTTCTTGTCCATTGGCCTCCCGTAGAGTATGTTATCACGAACTGTCCCACTTTGTATCCAAGAAGTCTGAGAAACATAGGCCATGGTTCCAAATACATCAACCTGCAATAATAAATAAAGTTAGTATAAAAACTTAGTACATCAAGTATATTAAATTTGTCATCTGTTTTAAACTCACAGTTCCTGAAATTTTGGGCATCTCTCCAAGTATAGCACATAAAAGTGATGATTTTCCAGCTCCAACTGGTCCACAAACTGCAACTTTCTGCTCCCTTTGCACTTCTAAATTCACATTTCTCAGAGTTGGAACTGTTGATTCAGGATACCAGCTGAAACTGCCTCTTTCTATTCTTAAGCTCTCATCTGAATTCTGTGATGACAACTTCCTTACTTCATTATCTTTCAGCTCGTCGTCAAGCAAAAAAACATTGAGACGATCAAATGAGACCTTGACTTGGATCATTACTGAAAGAGCCTCTGGTATCATTCTGACAGGTTCTCCCATGTTCCTTAGGGAAGCTAGAACCGTGAATATGGTACTTGCATTTAGAGGGACACTTTGGAAAATGATACATCCCAGAAAGATAACCGAAGAAATGATGGTGGGTGACATCCAATACATTAGAGTGCCATAAGCCCTTTTCATTTGTGAGTCAGTCAACCATATGAATTCACGTTCGCGAAGGGAATCGACTAACGTTTTGAATTTCTCTTCCCAGGATTGTAATTTAATGATTTTCATACTGTTCAGGATCTCAGAAGTGGCTCTGAGTCGCTCGTCTTGAGCTATCATGAACTGGGATTGACACTTTTGAAGTGCCTTTGCAAATGGCACATTCAGGAGACCACAAATGAAGAGAGGAATCAAACCAGGAAGAGCACCGAGACCCACCACCCAATAAAGAACACCAATGGTAAGGAATAGTTGCAGTGCATAGGTCCATGCTGAATGAAACCACCACAGGAACTCTCCCATTCGATA